ATGAATTTCCATTCTCTTTATTTCCTCACTTGAACTGCCTATTTTCAGCTTCTGCCTGAGGCTATGCTTCCCAGCCCACAGGACAGACACCTGCAGGCTGTAACCCTTTCTGAGAAACAAAGCTCTCCTTTCCCCGTTTGTGAACCTCCTCATTCTTGTGTCGACAGCCTCTAGGCTGTTCTCTAGCAGGGCCTGCTTCTGGGGATGGTGTTCCTCTGATACTACTTGGCTTTCTCACTACCTTGAGTCATTGCTCAAATCTCACCTGCTCTTTTATACTGACCCGGCAACCCCCCACCCCACCCCCCAACACACACACACAAGCCCACATGATTTCTCTTCCCTGTCTTTTTTTTTTCCTCCATAGTTTTTACCCTTATATAACTCATGTATTGGTTTTTTATTTTTATTTTATTTTATTTTATTTTATTTTGCAGTTTTTGGCTGGAGCTGGGTTTGAAACCACCACCTCCGGTATATGGGGCCGGTGTCCTACTCCTTTGAGCCACAGGTGCCACCCTCATGCATTGTTTTATTCTTTGCTATTGCCCTTCTTTGGGAAGCTGGTTCCATGAGGGATCTCTTTTACTCAGTGATGTATTCCAAGTGCCTAGAACAGTGTCTGGTATACAGTAGGTGCTCCATACATGTTTGTTAATGAAACTAGCCTCCTATGCTCATTCAGGGTGAGAGCTAAGTTTAGCTGAAAACACAGGCCAGGAACTTTCTGGATAGAGCATTATGGCTCCCAGGGCCAGCAGTCATCTGCCCAGGCTCAGAAATTTCTCCCAATATAGAAGAAGACAAAATTTAGCAAACCCAAGGAAGCTTTCAGCCAGATTTCCTTCCGAGGGGTTCCTTGTCCCCAATAGGCTGGAGTAGGGATGTAGATCACTTAAATGATAAAAAGAAAAAAGAAATGAAATGGCAAGTCCCTGCATACCTCTGTCCGTAGACAGTGACTTGATCTGTGGACCCACCTGTTGCTGGAATGAGGAAGCCCCTCTCCCAGCTGGGGTAGGGCTGGAGGGTGGGGAAAGGAGCTACATTCTTGCTGAGTGAGTCTCTTTTCTCTCTTCTCTGGGGGTAAGCCTGACACTGGATCATGGCTACTAGATAGGGTCTAAGAGCATTCAGGTCTCTGCCGTGGCCTCTGCCTCTTCTCCCCATTTGACACCTTCTGGGGGATTCTATTGCCTCATTTAATAAAGTGAAGAACTGGGGCTGAGTGGGAAGATGCAAGGAGGTCAGCCTACAGACTAAAGATGTCCTTGGAACTGGGGCTCAAAAGCCCTGATCCCAAGTACTTGATTGTGGCTTTTATGGACTCCTTGCAACAGCAGTCTGCTACAGTAGGGATTATATCCATTTTACAGATCAGGAAATTGAGGTTCAGAAAAGTTCTCTAATTTGCCTTAGATCAGTGTTTTTCAACCTTTTTTATCTTACCGTACACTGAGCCTACAGTTAAACTTCTGCGGCACAGTTAAGTTATGTTGATCAAAAAAGGAATGAAAAAATAGGCTGGGCGTGATACCTATAGTCCCAGCTACTTGGGAGGCTGAGGCAAGAGAATCACCTAAGCCCAAGAGCTGGAGGTTGCTGTGAGTTGTGATGCCACAGCACTCTACCGAGGGCGACAAAGTAAGACTCTGTCTCTAAAATTTAATTAATGATCTTTAAAAATTTTCTTGGCACAGCTAAGATCCTCTCATGCAGCATACTGGTTGAAAATCACTGCCCTAGATCATATTGCTAGTCAGGTCTAGGATTAGGAATGAAACTCAGGTCTGATGTGAAGGCCAAACCCCAGGTACGGGGGAGAGTGGTATGTGGGGCAGTAATGGTGAAATACCATCTCCCCTGGCCACCCCAAATGCAAGAAAGAGGGGTGAATATCACTGTAGAAATGATTCCATATCCTCAAATCAAACTTCACTGGGCAAAGGGGCAGGAGGGTTGCTTGCTGACAACCCCAACCTGTCAGTTCTCGACCTGCACTTTGTGTTTGTGGTCACCTGGCTGTACCCGGAAAACTACCCAGTCACACATCTAGGCAGGAGGCCTGCCCCTCCTCCCTGGCTCAAGGAAACAGGAAAAGGTGGCCCTAAGAGGCAGCAGTGAGCAGGTCTGAAGAGCAGTGGGGCCCAGTAGCCTGTGCCCCACTAGGATGGGCTCTCTCTGGGGCCTGGCCCTGCCCCTTCTCTTCTGCTGGAACGCTGGGCTGTCTGGGAGCTCTGCAGGTAAGGAGGCATGAGGGGCTGTGGGCTTCTCCCCTGGCAAGGATCTGGGTGTGAGTTTCAGGATGGGCAGCTGTGAGTGAGGGTATGTTCTCTTGGGTTAATTGTAGTTAACTATAATTTTATATGTGAAGTGTCATTATTGTTGATAAAAGTATGCAAATATTGATGTGTGTGTCAGTTTAAGCATGCAGGACACTGAAGTACACACAAACGAACAATGATGTTGTCATCGCTCTGAGTTTGCCTTTACGTAATTGGGGTTGGGAAGGGGCAGGGAAGTGTCAGCTGGTGATAATTCTGCCTAAAGCTGAAGAATGTGGCTTAACAAGATTCTGAGTCCTCTGAGTTTAGTACCTAGAGTGGATTTTCTTCAAAGTTCAGGGTGTTTTTTTTTGTTGTTGTTTGTTTGCTTTTTTTTGAGATAGTGTCTCATGGTGTCGCCCTTGGTAGAGTGCTATGGCGTCACAGCTCACAGCAACCTTAAACCCTTGGGCTCAAGTGATTGAGTCTCTTGCCTCAGCCCCCTGAGTAGCTGGGACTATAGGTGCCCATCACAATGCCCAGCTATTTTTTGGTTGCAGTTGTCATTGTTGTTTAGCAGGCCCAAGCTGGGCTTGAACCCGCCAACCTTGGTGTATGTGACCGGCGTCCTACCTGCTGAGCTATGGGCACAGCCTTTTAGGGGTTTTTTTTTGAGACAGTCTCACTATGTGAACAGTCTCTCACAAACTGCTTGGGAAGGGTGGACACTGAAAGAGGCAGGGCTTTTATGAAAAAGAGCAAACACTGTTCTGTCAGTAGTAGGCACTGGGCCAAACTTGTCACAAGTATTTTTAAAAAACAGATGATTTTTAAGAGCAGTTTTAGATTCACAGCAAATAGAATGCAGAGTTCCCATGGATCTCCTATTCCTACCACATACAACCTCTCCCTGTCCACATCCCCCCCAGGGCCGTACATTTGCTACAGTTTATGAACCTACACCTATACATCATCATATTTTACCTTTCTAATCTTTTTTTTTTTTGAGACAAAGTCTCACTCTGTTACCCTGGATAGAATGCCGTGGCATCCTTGCTCACAGAAACCTCAAACTCTTGGGCTCAAGTGATCCTCTTGTCTCAGCCTCCCGAGGAGCTGAGACTACAAGTGCCCGCCTCAATGTCCTGCTATTTTTTTCTATTTGTGGAGACAGGGTCTTGCTTGTGCTCAGGCTGTTTTTTCAATGTTCATGATAGCCCTAGGAGATAAGCATAGTCTTACCACCTGCACCTCCTGCCCTTTTCAGCTGAGGAGATGGAGCTTTACTGGGATTAAGCAACCCATCCCGGAGGGAGGATTCAGTGCCATGCATGCCCAACCACAGTACCATACTGCCTCCCACATGTGCTCACAGTCCACCAGGTTTGTGCTGCACATTTTCCATTAAATTTAATTTAATCCTCACAACCCCATGATATAGGTACTCCTAGCTCCGTTTTACAGGTAAGAAAATTTAGGCTTGGAACTGAGAAATTTGGCCAGGGTCTGCAAGCAGCAAACCGAGCCGCAGAGAGGGGACTAAAACCAGAATCTGAAGTCCACACACTTTCTTCTCCCCACACTGGAGGGGAACGGACACAGCTGCAGTGTCCCAGGGCTGTAGAGGTGACTTTGCTCTATTTGAGGAGACTCCTGGCAGGCAGGAGCCTTGGGAGGGGAGTTGTGAGAGCCCCTCCAGGTTGAGGAGGCTACAGGCTTGGGGAGCACGAGGAGGTTTCATAGCAAAAAATGACACTGCAAGGCTCCTGGAAAAGAAAACAATAATGCATCATTCAAGAGAGGTCGGGGCAGACTCTGAGAGACTGTGTGGGTTTCAGGCTCTGTGGGCTGAGGCGCAAAAGCTCTGCTTTCACTCTGTGGGGACAGACCAAGAAGGGTCAGAAAGGACTCAGGTCTTGAAGTGGGGAGAAGGAAGAGTATTCTGAAGGAGCCTGAGATCCTATGAAAGCATGTGTGTGTGCGCGCGCGCACGCGCGTGTGCATGCACACACACACACACACACACCCCGGATGAGGAATGGGTGTGTATGCCCACATCCCACCTACAGTGCATGGGTGGAGCAGCTTACAATTCTCACTGCAGTAAAATAGCCAAGTGACTTTAAGGGGTTCCTTGGCGGGTGGGGTGGGGTACACTCCTTAATAACCTCTTGGCATGCCTTTGGAATATAAGAGCTCTCCCATTCACATTTTCCTTTGGCCTTACCACTTTGGTGGGTATTGTGACCCTGTTTTCTCAGGTGAGGACATGGAAGCTGGGAGACGCCTAGTAGTGGCTGGCCTGGCTAGTAGGAGGCAGAGGAGGATTTGAACCAATAGGTCATCTGTCGCCAGAGCTGGGGGTGGGCAGCAGAATCAGAGGCCTCGTGACTCCTGCTCTTCCATTCAGCAGGGTCCACAGGAGGATGAGCTGAGGACTGGGGTCCATCCTGACACTCTGGGGCTCCTGACCCTAATTGGGGTCTGTGGGCTACTTTGGAGATGGCGGAGCTCAGTAGAGACCATCTCAAAGCATCAGAATGCCAAAATGGTGACTCGTTTTTTGATCCTTTTCCTTCTAAGAGTAGGGTTACCACATCCAGTTGAATTTGAATTTCAGGTAATGAATTTTTTTAAATGTATGTCTCAAATATTGCATGAGAAATATTCATAATGAAAAATTATTCATTGTTTATCTGAAAGGTAAATTCAAATTTAACTGGGTGTCCTGTACTTTTACTTGCTACATCAGACAACCCTCCTCCCTAAGAGGCTCCTTGGCCTACTCACAGAGAGAGCCCTACCACCCTATAGAAAAGAAGCACCCTCTGTCAGGCCATAAAAGATCTGGCTATTGCCTTCAGGGCCCTCCACACACCCTGCCTCAGCGGCCAGTCCAATGAGCAGGCGTGGGGCAGCCTCTCTCAAATGTTAGGTTTTGTCTCATCTGGCTCCTGTTACATGTGGAGGGTGCCTGGTCCCTCGTTTCTGTGGTCCCAGGTTTCCATCCCTGTGGCTCTTAGACCCACAGTCACAGAGGTCTGCACAGGGCTGAGAAGTCTCTCCTTTCCTTTGTTGGGGCCCCAAGGCCTCTGCCCACTCCCCTCGCTTTGGTAGCAGTACCACCAACACTGTCTCTGGAGGTTCCTCTTCCTCAATCCTCCCAGCTACCTCTAAAAAAAAAACCATAGGCCTTTCTTGTATTTCAAGAGTTTTTTTTTTTTTTTAATAACTGTAGGGAAATATTTGTTAGATGAGAAAAGAATCCATGGGAGAATGACAAGGATTCTTTCAGAAAATTATGAGATTTCCTGGTCTCTGCAGTTCCTTGCTCACCTGGATTTCTGGATTTCGAGTTTCTTTGCTCACCCTTGCAGGTGGATCCTGGCCCCACACATTCCCATTGAAGGTCACAGACCAATAATCAGTGAGACTGTGGAGCTTGCTGGCCTCAAGTGGGTTGTCAGGCTTCAGAGCACACCAGTTAGGGCAACCCCAGCTCTGTGCTTGCCACATGGAACTGGGCTTCTCAGCACTGCCTCCTTTTTTCTTGTTTAAATAGATAAAAAATGGGATAAGAGCACCTCCCCCTCCCCATCCTCTACCCAGATCATAAACATAAGAGCTCTGACATCTTATGTGTGGCATCCATCAAAGCTCACAAATTCGGTCTTAACCCAACACAGGCCCACACACCAGCAGACCAGACACCTGGGTGACAGCAGATGACATAGAAGTGCCTATGGTGACTCCAGGGCCCAGGGTAAGCTCAGAGGAACCCTTCCAGATCACTGACCTCACTGAGACCACCTTTGCTTTGGAAACTCAAACTCCGAACACCAAGACTTTTTCTACGATCTTAATCCCAGACAGCATCATTCCAGAAGCAGGGACCAGGGAAATCAAGACTGTTTCCCCTACAACAGAGACCAGGACCATCACAAAAATAACTCCTTCCAAGTTCATGGTTGCGATCACTGCCCCTATGGAGATGTCAGCCACAAGTGGCAGCCCTGAGGGAACTGGGATAACCACAGTTCAGAGTGTCACAGGCAGTGACCCTGTGGAAACCATCTTTGACACCCTTTGTACCAATGACAGCTCTGAAGAGGCAAAGAGGGTCACCGTTAACATCTTGACATTGGCTCACACTTCCAGAGAAGTTGAGGGCTTACCCTCAGAGAGCAGCTCCTCCTTCGACAGCTTGGGTCCAATGCTCTCCACCTCACAAGCCCTGGGACCAGCTAAAGGCTTGGTTGCCTACACTATCACCCACATCGAGGTTACCAACTGCACTGTTACAGAAATAGAAACAACAGACACCATCTCTGGGACCTTAGACACAGGTCACAGCCCCCCAGAAGGGGTTAAGGCCTTGTCCCCCTCTGCTATATCAGCTTTGCTAGACTCCACTGAGGTGAAATCATACATCACCATGTCTACAACCTCTGCCGAGACCTTGTCAGCAGCCAGTGCCACAGAGTCAGCTGCACCTGATGCCACTGTTGGGACCCCACCTCCCACCAGTGGCACCACAGAAAGAGAAACAACAGTAGACAAAGCCACTTCCTTCACTGGAACTTTGGTGACAGGTAGCATGGACCCCTGGGGAGAAACCTCAGCCCTCTCTGTGGAGACACCAAGCCACATCGAAGTCTCAGAAGCAGTCACAGTCCCCACAGAAGCTGGGTCAACGGCGGGCAAAGTCACTTCCTCTTCTGGGTCCTCAGCTTCAGTCTACAGCCCATCAGAGGTAGCCACCATCAAGAGTTCCACTCCTGCAGAGACGCCTGCCGGAGATGGTACAACCAATGGGCCCCTTCCCACCAGCAGGAGCCCTCTTCCTTCTATATATCCTGCCACAGGTAGCAGTGGCCAAAGAACAAACATCACCTCAGCCAAGGCCACAACCTCAGCACAGACCACGGAAAAGCTCCCAACAGCCACAGCTGCCACTGCTC